CACTAATATTACCACAAACCAACTAACTAATTGTCTCAGAAGCCCAATTTCAAACATATGGTGGTCATGTCATTTGAAGAACTCGCCAGATCACATTATTTACTACATTCTCAACCAAACACTTATCAAATTCAAAATCCCAAGAACATATCAAAAGGGAACACCGAATGACAGTCAAATTAAACTTCGGAGGAGGTGACAAATACAATATATGTGGCAAGAACCCAATGTACCTTAGCTTGTTCTCTGCATTCTTCACTGCAAAACGTGGCATTCCCAACTTGAAGAGTGGGAGTGGCTTTGTTTTGAAGCTTTTTAAGGCAGAAGTAACAGACTATACCGATTGAGGAGAGGGAAGGATGACAAACTATTGGTTTAGCTGTGTGTATGAGTTCACCAGCTGTGATTCTCCGAGTCGCGAGAACACCTCTGCCAGCTGACTCGGTGAGTACAACTCGGATCGGAGGAGGCTGACGCAGGTTTGACTCATCGTGATGACCACCAATTCTGGTGGTGGTGGTGGTGAAGTGGAAAGTGAGAAGTGGCTTGTTTTGTGAATACAATTGCCTGAATGGCGAAGCACAAAGGTTACGACGGAGGAACGTTAACATTGTAGTGTTACTTTCGGACTGTTTTTGGACCGAGGTAAGATTTTATTCGCCGCGCCTTTACAAGGCTGCTCAAGTAAAGTAAATATTAGGTAACTGATTATCCCACTTGTGATGGTATTGGGCTCTTTCATGTCCCTATTCCTAATTTTTCAAAAAAAAAAAAAAAGATGATGACAGTTATACCCTTAACATTGTTATTTAGCGTAATTATTTAATGATAAATAAATAAATTATATTTTTTTGATTTGGGGTAGTTATTATCTTATATGGAGTGGGTGTTATTTGAAGAACTAAATCCAATTTACCCACTCGTTTATTTATTACTAGGCAGTTATATTATATTTACATTGTTACGTGGTGTAATTATTACACCTAATATTTAGATTAAACTAAACATATAATCCTCAAATTATGACATTTGTGTTAATTAAATTTCTGAACTTTTTTTTTTTTTTGGTGCAGTTGAGCTCCTGAAATCTTTAATTGCATTAGTTGAAGTTCTGAACTATCTAATTACATCAATTAAACTCTTCAATCTGGCTCCCTAATTGCATCAATTGAACTCTTCAATGTGTCGTTACATTAAACATTGTACAAGCTGTTGTATATACTTCTTGTGCTGTTCCCTTGTGGATACAACAAAAATGTCAATGGCAATGAAAAACAAGGACTATTTAGCAGCTTTATGTCTTGTATGTGCACACGAATAAAAGGCCACTTGGTGTATTATAAGGTCAATACTAAAAAAAAATATGACACAAGTTAGCTAGAACTTAAAATATTTATAAACAAAATTATTGTAGTCATCGATGTAATGGCGATCGCCAGTCAAGGTTCTCTTCGGGATAATCTTTTTGTACTTCTCCAGGTGGTATAAAGCAGTCAATTGAAAGACCCGCTACATTCAATGCTAGATCATCAATCATCCACGTCTCCTCCAACCGCGTGATCACAGGCCCTGCCCTCAAGTTGTCACCAAACTGTGTGATGATCGCGCTCGATTGTCCCGAGTGTGCAATCATCACGCCATCCACCGTCCGATAGTCCTCGATTTTGGTCCCCATTGTGGTTTCCCAGTATGTAGGGTGGGAACCAGGTGATTGAATTCTGGTTAAGTAAGAGTCCTCCAAATACACCAACAATCCACTTCTTTGGCTAAAGTAGCCAAACATAACATGTTTGATCATCTCTGCAGTGTTGTCACTCCTTTCAGCCAGGTCCGTTTGATCAGCAGACAATTTTAACACGAAGCAATCGACGTCTGTGATTCGTTTTTCTCCCATGTACTGAGCTAAGGAAAAAGCAGCTGATACAGCCAGAGGATCAAGACCCTGCATAAATGAGCTCTTATTAACATATACACATGCTCAACTTTCATGATTTCATATAGACGGGAATCTCGATCACTGAGACGGAGTATAAAATAGAATTTTCCCCAAATTAATTGAATTGGGGGTATTTATTTCATGATCGATCATATAATTAGTTCAAACAATTTTATTTTATTTTATTTTTAAAAACATAACTTAATTTCAAAAAATCATATTTTTTAATAAGATACAAAAAATTCAGTACGGTGGAATTACCCCCGGGACAACTATGAGGCAGAGTACCGAAGTTGAGCACACTCGGTACACGTGAAGGGCACACTAGTAGTCCACTGAGAAATGAGTGGATGGTAGTGTGAAAACGTATGAGCACAAAAGCTGTAAGGGAAACAAACAAACAAACAAACAAACAAAACCCAAGTTGCACAGCCCTGCCTGCCGGCCACTTTAACAGAGAATATTCCGATGTACAAGTCTCGTCTCTTTACTCTGACAACGATGATACTACTTAGTTGCGTAGTATCCCTGGGGGCAGTAGTGGTCCCTTTATTTTGAGGATGT